ATACGATTGATGATAACTGTATGCATTTTAACAGATTATCTCTTCCTGTTGACTCCAATTCCTATAAACAAGTTAAAGATAAGTTTGCTTTTGCTTCGTAGTCTCCTTTATCGGAAGCTCAACATATACACCAATTACATCTATTAGAAGAACTTGAAAATATTGTATCTGTCACTATAAAGAAAGGTCGTTTTCATTGTGGCCAATTTCAATTGTTAGTTAATTATACCGCAGATAAACCAACTTTATGTGAATGGATTAATATAGCTTTTGATGATGATTTATGTACAATCGCAAAAACTTTAGTTCAGAACAACTCTATCAATGTTGTTGGTCGTCCTAATATTCATTCATTCTTGTAGTTACATCATATAATGTAAGTTAATTTATGCTGAAATGTGATGATAGTAAATTTGTAAATTGTTTACTCATTCCAATTCATATATTGAGATCTAGTTACTTAAAACTTAAGTTCAATCTTATTGTGATTGATTAAGGAATTGTGATATGTATTAATATGTATTAAGGATGGAGACCTACTTGAATTACTATTATTAGCATGTAGATAAAATATATTTATGTTTTGTTTATTTTTTTGAAATACTTACTTTAGGCTTATCTATTAATGCTTAAGGTTGACCAATACTATTCTTGATATTTTGCTTCTTATTGGTTAGTCTTATGATTACCTTATTAGTTAAGCTATTGGTAAAATTTTATTTATTTATTTGTATATTTTTTTTCATTTAATGTATGAATGAGTATGAATGTTCTCAGATGTTAGCAACTATTTGATTTGTCAATATGTTGTAAATACTCCAGTTTCTTCTTTTTGGAAGAAAGGGGGATGTCATATAGATACTATTTAATTTGTCAATATGTTGTAAATACTCCAGTTTCTTATTTTTGGAAGAAAGGGGGATGTCGTATTGATCCTCTCTATACTGGATGATCAATATTGTAATCAGGACATATATGCAATTCTCTGGCCAAAGAATATGAAAATCTATGCATTTTCAGATGAGCTGTGCGGCATTCTGCAAACACTATAATACATCAGAAAACTGCGGAATTTCAGACAGAAATTTAAAAGCACATGAATTTTGAATTAAACAGAACATTTTTATTTTTGAACATAAATGCATTCTGTAAAAAGATGAGATAAATTCAATATAAATCAAACACGAAAATACTTTAAAACAGTAATCATGATGCAATATTAGACTTTTTAACACTTTCATCGAAAACCACACAGTTTTTCTCTGTTAACGTAGTTTCAAGTGCCAAATTGTGGTCAAATCTAAAATGTTGAAACATGCAGTGCCTATCAATTTTAAAATATCTCCTATATAGCTGTATTTCCATAGGATAAGTAAGTTGAAATAATCTAATTATGTAACACTACAACAGCTTTTTCATCCCTACCCCCCAGTTTGGAATCTGATAATTTAAAAGCACATGAATTTTGAATTCCACAGAACATTTTTATTTTTGAACATAAATGCATTCTGTAAAAAGATGAGATAAATTCAATATAAATCAAACACGAAAATACTTTAAAACAGTAATCATGATGCAATATTAGACTTTTTAACACTTTCATCGAAAACCACACAGTTTTTCTCTGTTAACGTAGTTTCAAGTGCCAAATTGTGGTCAAATCTAAAATGTTGAAACATGCAGTGCCTATCAATTTTAAAATATCTCCTATATAGCTGTATTTCCATAGGATAAGTAAGTTGAAATAATCTAATTATGTAACACTACAACACCTTTTTCATCCCTACCCCCCAGTTTGGAATCTGATAATTTAAAAGCACATGAATTTTGAATTCCACAGAACATTTTTATTTTTGAACATAAATGCATTCTTCAAAAAGATGAGATGAATTCAATATAAATCAAACACGAAAATACTTTAAAACAGTAATCATGATGCAATATTAGACTTTTAACACTTTCATCGAAAACCACACAGTTTTGGTACTGCACAGGCCTGTCTTCTCCCCTTGACATTTAACTGAATGACAGAATTCCACATTTTGACCATTTTCTGGATGTCAATGACCATTTCCCTGGATAGTATTCGCCCCAGAATTCTCATTCTCATCCAAATTTAACATTTCAGGTCTACATCTCAAAACCTGATCTCTTCCTGGACTGGCTTTAGGAGAACGATGATGCATATCAATTTCATCCCTGATCTCTATGACACCTGTGGTGGAAGTGGAGGGCAAATCGTAATCAGTTTGGGTTCCAGCCCCGAGGACCTTTGTAAACTTTGCTTTTTGGTGATGACTTAATTTCCGAGCTTGAAAAGGACGCTTGTGTGTTTATCATGGCCTCTCATATTGGAAGATAACATTAATGGCTTGTGTGTTGATCGACGGTTGTTCATATCTCTTGGTCAGGAAAGTTGTAGGCACCATCGCCATTGTAAATCATTTGACAGGCCCGAGTGAACGGGGCGACCTATGATTGGTCAGCAATGTATCAGATTCCATACCGGGGGGTGGGGATGAAAAAACTGTTGTAGTGTTACATAATCAGATTATTTCAACTTACTTATTCTGTGGAAATACAGCTATATAGGAGATATTTTGAAATTCATAGGCACTGCATGTTTCAACATTTTAGATTTGACCACAATTTGGCACTTGAAACTATGTTAACAGAGAAAAACTGTGTGGTTTTCGATGAAAGTGTTAAAAGTCTAATACTGCATCATGATTACTGTTTTAAAGTATTTTCGTGTTTGATTTATATTGAATTCATCTCATCTTTTTGAAGAATGCATTTATGTTCAAAAATAAAAATGTTCTGTGGAATTCAAAATTCATGTGGTTTTAAATTATCAGATTCCAAACTGGGGGGTGGGGATGAAAAAGCTGTTGTAGTGTTACATAATCAGATTATTTCAACTTACTTATCCTATGGAAATACAGCTATATAGGAGATATTTTAAAATTGATAGGCACTGCATGTTTCAACATTTTAGATTTGACCACAATTTGGCACTTGAAACTACGTTAACAGAGAAAAACTGTGTGGTTTTCGATGAAAGTGTTAAAAAGTCTAATATTGCATCATGATTACTGTTTTAAAGTATTTTCGTGTTAGATTTATATTGAATTTATCTCATCTTTTAACAGAATGCATTTATGTTCAAAAATAAAAATGTTCTGTTTAATTCAAAATTCATGTGCTTTTAAATTTCTGTCTGAAATTCCGCAGTTTTCTGATGTATTATAGTGTTTGCAGAATGCCGCACAGCTCATCTGAAAATGCATAGATTTTCATATTCTTTGGCCAGGGAATTGCATATATGTTTGTTTATTAGATAACAACAGATTTGTTTAAACTGCAGAAACATGTGAGGTATATAGGACTAAGACTAGTAATTATTTCCCCTTATTTCATGATGGAAATAGACAATTTTTCCCTTAATTTTTTTCTCCCCTCTTCCTGCATTTTTGGGTTGACCTTTTGGTCTAGAATTGGAGAAAAGGGATCAAATTTGCAATTTCATAGCAGTTCTGGGTAATACTGATGATATTATAGCGGAGGGATAGGGGGTGTAAAGTGTCTTTCTGCAGAGCAATCATTGTGTCGGAAGTGAGATTTTCACCCCTGTCAACTTCAAATCTGTGTAGCAAAAAATCTAAATGGTCAACCCCCTACAAAATTATGATGAGGAGATTGCCAAATGTTGTCCCTATAAAGATTGGAACCAACGGAATGTTGAGCAAAAAGCTACAGCCTGTGATGTCACAGTCATTTAACATTGAAGTCAATGGGCAAATAATTGCTAGTCTGAGTCCATATAAGTCATGTGAGACGGGAGTTATCTGCCCCTGTCGACTCTTCACTGTAATATATAGATTGAAGTTAATAAAAACAGACACACATTCTCCGGAGTGTGCTTGCTAGACGTACGAACATGCAATATATAGGGGGGGTGAGATATGAATATGACCGTCCATCCACGTGCTGATATATAGAAGGCATCTAGAAGGAAGTGATCCCAACACAACACTAATTTCTACTTTTCGAGTTGCATCATGGTTCGTATGCGTGTTGGCATACAAAAATATGACCAAGACGAAAGTGGACAAGACGGTACACAAGCTAAAATGCAAGTCGAAAATAAAAAATTAAGAAAAAACGAGGGGCGCTATTATCTCGGTGTATTATTTCTTAATTTCGAGTCGATTTTGACTTGTATAGCGTGTTGTTGCTTCACATTTTGTCGTAACTTCTACTTTTCGCCTTTCGCGTTTTCAAGGGGCGAAAATTAGAAATTATGAATGGTAGTTATAGGCTTCCATACGCTCGCTAAGCTGGAGGTCCCCTGTTTGATATCTGTGTTGATTGCGAAAGTTCGTCGGGATTTCAGGCGTGGTTCCCTCTTGTCAGTGGTGCAGGACAGAGGCCCCGGCAAGGAACAACGTACATATAGTCTTTCGGATGAGACCAAACATCTAGGGCCCGTGTAAACATTTAGTGGACGTAAAAGAACTCTTGGCTGTTGGAATTTGATTAAGAGTAGGCCAAAGAGCCGGGCAAAATTTCCCTCATAGCACACTGTATATGGCGTATGTCCGTCTTCATTATCCCAGTCGGAGCAGAACAGTAGGACGTTAAACCCCATTTCATTTCATAGCACACTGTATGGTGTATGTCCGTCTTCATTAGCCCAATCGGTGTAGATCAGTAAAAGTTAAAACAATGAAAGTAAGACTACACCTTGCACTGCGCGAACTTTCAACTCTCCACGGACTATCTTTCCATGCAAAAACAATTACGTGGCATTGGTATGAAATTTGTAACAATGAACCAGTCTACTAGCCGTATGCCGGCTGATCAATGGGCATGGATTACCGAGAGTATTTTGTATGAAACATTATAGACATTTTGGGAAAAACAGAATTAAAAACGGTTATGCTCTTGTTGGTGATCTGTGGCCAACGGTTATTAAAGGGAGACAACTATTCATAACGTGTCCCACTTTCACGTTGTGGGGAGTGAATATTTTATTAGTGAAGTACCTGATGAATGAAATAATGAAATACCGCTTTTAAAAGAATAAATATGTTTATATTTACTATGGAGAATCCTGCGCGGGATTTGAACCAGCGAGTTAATCAACACCAGCCAGATAATCAACACCAATTCAGTAGTAATCTAAGCTTTAAAAACCAAAAATCTCTCTATAATGATATAATTTCAAGAATACATGTGTTAACAGTACAATCGAGAAAAGCTAAAAACAAAAACCTAAAAAAAAAAACAAAAAAAAAAAACCAATGAAAGAAATTAGACATGTATACAGCTGAATTAGTAAAAACCATTGACAATTTGGATGGAAAATTAACATTGAGGTCAAGGAGAAATTAATCATCGGGGTGCTGAAAATGATTGTTTATGGATCCTGGATTTGAAGAATCTAATAAACCTATTAAAGCTTAAGCTCCAGGAACTCTCATTCCTTATGGGCATCTGTCCACATGGCTTACATGTTTTAGGTGTACGGTAGTGGTGGGGAGTTTAGGGGTGAATATGCATAGTTACTGTACCAGCTCTGTCTATGTGTGTCGGGGGGGTAGGTGGGTTTTCTCCGGGTTCTCTGGTTTCCTTATACTGCTGAAGACACTACGCGCAAACGAATAATTAAAATAAAATTGAACCATATTTTACTCTCTCTCTCTCTCTCTCATCTATGTATGTGGGCGAGAGAGAGAGAGGGGAAAGGGATTTAACGTCCACTCGACACAAACTAGATCATTTCGGGACTTACATGCTCAATTTTATTCATTAATTCGCTTGCGCGTAGGGGTCTTTGAGTCTTTAGCAGTGGGAAGAAAGAGGAGGACCCGGAGAAAACCCATGAGGCTGGACAGGCGACCCTACTCCTTGTCACGAACTACCGGGGAATCGAAACCACGACAGTTGACTAATTGAATAAATAAATAAATAAAATAATAGAACCATTGCGTTATGCATTCTATAAACTTTTACTGTACTGCTCCAGCTTTATTTAGTATTTACACTGTAACACAAGCCTCATGAAACAGAACAGTCTCTTTAACAAATGGCGGCTAAGAAATGGCGGGGTATCTATTCTAATAAAAATAATTTATTCCTTAATAGAAGTGGCAAAATCTACAACTTAAAAAAAAACCATTAAAATTTAATTCGATGTTTTTGGGGATTTTTTAAATCGAATCTGACATTACACTTGCCGAGTTGTTACTGTTAAATCAGGAAATTAATTCGAATTATCACTTTAAGAGAGGAGTGGCAAAGGTGTAATGACTGTTTTCCAATTTATATATACATATGTACAAATATTAAATTGATCCATGAATATAAATGGGCAGAAACACAGATATTTCATGACGTGAACGAATTGAATTTGATCTATAATTGAGTATTCTCTGATTGCGATACTTCTGAGATTTCTGGAGGATCTGATATATCAACGGTAACCGTAATATTCTCTTCTGTAATATTTTGTTTAATGTTCTCCTCTAAATGAGCATCGAAGGCTTTGTTTTCATGATAAGGAGAAACCGCTGTGTCAACGTCCAGTATTTCACTGTCTACAACTACGACAGGACCAGTTTCTACCTGATAAGCTGCTTTATCTTTGGGTTCTGCAATTTGAGAATACTCTAATCGCTGCATCATCCTGTCTTTACGAAGTATGAAAATTAAAGCAGCAATACAGGGTATTAAGAACACTACTCCAGCCAGTATTCCGATAACGTAATCCAAAGATGAGCTGCTCACCGATTGACACGCCATAGCAACAACAGAGGTTTTATTAGAAAGCACGTTGACGCACACATCAATCTCCGATTCATCCTCCGATTTAGTAACAATGAAGCTGGATTGAGTTTTCTCCAATATCGGTGTCTTATACGTTTCTTTACCGGTGCTTTTTAATGACACAACAAAGCCGAAAATGAAACTGCTATCACCTTTTACGTCCCATACTACCGAGATTTGATTATCTAATAATTTTACGTCCAGCTTTATAGCAAGTGGTAATGGATCCTCTTCTGCTATGTCACAATGATCTTCAATGCTCTGGTATCTACCACACTCGTGTTCGTTGTCAGTAACAGCGTATATTTTACCATCGGTTACATTTTTGCAAAACCATTCATTGAAATGATAATGTATAAGTTCAGAATAACCATGACGCTGCCTTGCCCGGTACCATGCATGCAATAAAGACAGTCCACAGCTACAGGTAAATTCATTACCACTTATATCAAGATTCTGAATGTCTTTCATTTTTAAGAATCTGCAGCCACCTATTGTAGTCAGTGAACAATTTTTAACACTCAGTGATGCCAGATGAGGAGGAAACATTAAATGGCCGATGTCTTTGATTCCCTTATTATACGACAGATCTAACATTCGCAAGTTCTCCAGATTCTCGAAGGTGTCATTGGCTACTAGGAATGCTAAGTTGTTGCGACTTAAATTGAGCTCCTGTAAATTTTGTTCTAATCCGACAAAAGTTTCCATTTTTAGATTAGTCAAATTGTTTTTGGAAAGCTCCAATATGATCAATGATTTTAGGGAACGAAATAAGTTCTCATTTAAATCTTGCAGCCTATTGTCGGCAAGATGTAATTCTGTCAGTGAGTCCAGACCTTCAAATGTTTCCGGAACTAAAGTTGCTATTTGATTGTCGACAAGGTGTAGTTCATCTAAGAAGGGAACATTATTGAAAGCTTGAACTTCTATAGAGTTTATACTGTTGCTGTTCAGATTCAAAATCTCCAATTTAGATTGTGGTAATATCGGTACAAACCCCAGCATATTATTAGATAAATTTAGATAAGAGGCTACAGACCACAGTTCTATGGGCACGGTCCTCAGGTTGTTCCACGAGATATCCAGGGATTTCAGAGACACCGAGCTGTCGTCAACATAGACGATTTCTAAATCGTTATGGGAACATGATAACTCCTTAATGCTTTCCGTGGCGAAAGATGAAAGATTCAACAATTTCAGTCGGTTATTAGATATTTGCAGAATGGACACAGTCGGAATCGTAAAAACTTCGGTCGGAATTTCTGCGAATGAATTGTTTTGCATATCTAATAAGCTGATAGAGTATATATGCTGAAAGTAATTCTTTGGCAAAGAGCTGATATTATTGGATGAAATTTTCACTGTGTTTATCCGATATGACCGTGTTGCGTTATCAGAAGAATCAACAATTATTGGACTGGTATTATTGTTATCTAGGTAATAGCATCCAATATTCATAAGGCCATTGAGTATTTCACACGTACACGCTTCCGTAACATTCACAGGGCACTCATCCGCTGCTACACAAAATCCACAAAACACAAATAATAAAATCACCAATGTAAAGTAATTAGCTGTCATCTTCAAAGTATTCATATTCTGAAAAAAAATAAAGCAGTCAATGTTTAGTAAAGCAATTGTAGTTATGCTAAAACATAAAACTTTTTTAGTGACTTTCTTTTTAGAATAGCACTTAGCTGAATATTCTAACGAAAACTATTTACTTATGAATCCGATTGAGAAAAGAAAACTCATTCAAGTGTATATAGGCGGTTGTGATCGAGGAATAAGATAACCGATTAACATCATAAAGACAAGGAGTGTAGACGTCACGGCTCCTTTTTACTTTAAATTCGTAGCTTAATGAAAGGAATGTCTGATGTGAAAGGTAATAAATGAACTGATTAGTATGCAAGATTTGATTTATCAGATATTTTAGACTTGTATATCAAAACTATTAGAAAAAAAACGCCATTAATTTATCTCAACTTGAATAAAAGAGGGGAATCTTTGTTTCTTCTTTTAAAGTCGCTGATCGTCATTTGCATATTTCAAACGATAGTTAAATTTCCACAGCTTAATCCACGCTAAGATGTACTCAATTTGATTATTTAACATTTAATTAAGAAAATAAAGTAAAAATATCAACGGTAGAAAATCTCCCCGTTCGAATTTAATCGGATTAAAGAAAGGCCCGTCAGTTGATTTCAGCGAGAATTTTAGGTAGCGCTGGCTGATGACGATCATATACCACATATCGTCTGCAGGTTGAATAATTTTAATTTCATAATTTCTTTGTAAATACTGAATTGAATTGAACCATTTATGGACTGGTATTCCTTTTACATATTCAACTTTCACAATATTTTAGGTTGCAAGGGATTCAAAGTCCCTGACATGACGACCAGACACTTTAAATATATTTAAGGGATTCAATAATTCATTATAATAAAATAACCTGTTTGTGAGAGCCCCACTAATAACAAACGTTATAAATAAAGTGTTCACAAGTTGTTATACAACATTAAATCAGTTAAATAGTTTTATTCATACTGTGTACAATGTATTTAAATTTATCTTATTTAGTCCTTCAACGAAGCAATTTATTACTAGTTCTTATTTACTTTTTCCATGTATACTTGACCTGTATTTGTATTGTAATTGTACAGACGTGTTAAAACTATTTACGTAGCATAATCCCTACAATTTAAACAATATTACGTAATGTAAATTATAGTCACAGCGCTCTACTCACCCAAGGCAAGGACGACATTAATCTTATAGAACATCAATTTTTATATATAATTCTCTGAAAAGTTTTAAAATGAAATGGGGTTTTACGTCCCACTTTTCTGCACCAACCGAGCTAATGTAGATGGACATACACCATGCAGTGTGATATGGGGGAAATTTTGTCCAGACTACACTTCACCCAATTCCAACTGCCAATGGTTCTTTTGCATATGCGCCAACTAGTACACCGTCCCACCCTTGTCAGCCCCACCCCACCCATCCTGCACCACTGGCAAGGGAAAACAAGGCTAATTAAAAAATAAATCAGGATCGGGTTCGGGGCCTCTGGATTTTTTTAGCAAACGCTATACCCACTTAGCCACCGTATTTCTAGAACAACCGATATCACTTCTATCAGTTATCACATAGTTAATGAGGTTTCTTGTACTTGTGTCTGTAAAAAAAATGGGAGAAATACATCTTCTCACTAACACCATTATTAACGCGCTCTATGTATTTGGTCACCCATTGTTTTGTATTTTATAGATTGGCGGGAAGAAAACAAAAAAGTATTTCTGTGTGGCGGCCTATTATTCTGGGTCCTGTTTCACGAAATTTAAACTAAAGATAAAATCCAAATTTTAGTAGATACTTCAATTTTGATTGGCTAAGCACTACAATCAGTCTAATATTATCCAATCAAATTACTAAAATTTGGATTTTATCTTAGTTAAAATTTCGTGAAACAGGCTGGAATAGAGGAACTAATAACCTCAAGGGAACATTTCTAGCGCTGTATTTAAACCGTTAATATACAGTTTATTGGAATTAGTCAGGACTTTGATTTTATGAAATCTAGAAAAAGTCTATTTTAGTTTCATTCCCATGATAAAAAATTATTTCATGGGTTAGTATCGTTTTTACTTTGAAGGCATCATATACTTTTCAGTGCTTAGGTCCTTTGAAGGCTTTAATACAGCCGCGGCCTTCAGTCGTCAGCACTCTACCGTGCTTAAATTGTATCTGCTTTATCAATATATACCTGAAGGACATAAAAATGTATCTAGCAGAAACCCCCCTCTAAACTGGGTTAGTAAGGTGTTATTTCTTTTGACATACCTCAGTAGTTTATTATTAGGGGGATTGTTCAGGTTCTTCAGTCTTTATGTGGGTTATCGACCAACAATTATAACCATTACATCCGATGAACTAGTTTTCTTGTTAATGACTTTTTAAATAAAAAAAGAATCCGATAACAACAGCTGATAAAAATACATAAACCTATACACCATCAAGTCTTATATAAAGTTATTTCGTTTATTATGAATCTACTGAACTTAATGCCATATAAGTAAAATAGTTAGCCCCTGATTTTGGGTACACACATCAAAAGCTCTGATAATACACTAGATATTTATATATATTCCATACGCCATAGCAGTATCAAGATTTTGTATTGAAAATAAAGGTAAATCCCGGGAAGATGCATCGACTAATATTATTAAAAAGTACAGTCCCCTTGGACATAAGACAAAAAGTTGACTTTCCAAATGGGGAAAACAAATCCTACTTGAAAAGTGATATTAGGTGTTTTGAAATGAGTATGTATATCTTTTTGTGTTCATGACACCCGCGTGTACTATTTAGATTTCGATTTAAAGAAGTATATAAAAGCAAACAAAGTATGATAATTAACTAAATAAATCTGTGACGATGGCAGTCACAGACACGGGAGTCTTTGTGGCTCAGTGACCAAAAGGCCCGGGAAAAGTTTCCTTCATAGCCCATCGCATGGCCGTCTTCACTGGCCAAATAGGTGTAGAGAAGTATTAGGACGTTAAACCCCATTTAAATCACATATGATGCATATTGGCAATATCATGGAGACGACCGTAGAATTTCTGAAATGCACCCCATAGTCAGGATATCAGAAACAGTTATCTGGATGCTTAAATCCGTATCATCTTCAGTAGTCTTAACTTTTCTTTTAACATATTTATTTCACAGTGCTGGTGGAAAACTAACGCGACAAATCACGTGATCTGAATTGGACAGTTTTATTATTATTCAGGAAGTACTAGTCTTTCCCAGAAATGTATGGATCAGTTGCTCTAAATGCGGAATAGTCGTCCCAATAGCCACGATCTATGCCATTAGATTAATTCAGAAAAATTAAAAATGTACTGATAAGTTGATGTTTTTCTCTTCTTTTTTTCTTTGAATAAAATATTCCGAGAAAAAAAGGGTGAATAGATCACAGATTTAATTGTTATCAGATTCTAAAAATAAAAGACCCCTATGCGCCAAGGTAACATAGGCGTGCTATTTTATCATCCCCACCTTTCGTAAACAATTATATAAGACTACTGCTGTTTATTACTCCGTGGAAAAGTACGCATGCACAGCTAGGTATCTCATTTTAAAAGGAAGTCTTGGCTTATTTTTTTCTGTTGCATTGTAATTCAAATGTTCGTATAGCCAATAGAGGGGGAATATAGAAATATACATCTAAAATTGTCTTCACTTTTAAATTAAAAATCGAATTTGGGCAGACAATATATAACTTTGGTCAGATATTGTATCAATTCTATATAAATGACTTACCGTTATAAGCTGTTAATAACATATATAGTCACATTTGATCAGATTTACCTATACATAATTTATCAATACTCCCAGCAATCCCTTTAGGTATACTTATAAGTTACTGTAGTTTTAGGGCAGTGTGCAGAGAACGGTTTTGGGGCTGTGTGCAAGGCCTTGCGGTGAGCAAAAGTAGTCATTCGATACGCAGTTTATACTGTCCCATTACTGCTGTTATGATGATATCGATAGTTATTTGTGATGTTATTTAAATAGAAAACAAAGCTTAACTTTTGTACCTGAACATTATTTATTTAGTGAACTGTTCTAATTTTCTCACGAAATATTTGATTATTATAATGGATGAATATATTGCAATATAATTTCATAAGCTATAGCTTATAAGCAGCTAAGCTGTAGACTAGTGTATTTTGATAGGTTTATTATCCATAATAATTGTCATAGTTTAAATGACATTAAAAAAGTAAATCGGAATTGTGCAAGATGCATATGGGAATGAATTCTTTGATTTGTGTTTCTAAAACTAAGTTTTTAATTAAATACATCAAAAATGTATTTCTTCAAAATCTCCACTTTATTTGGCCCATTTATAGCATTAGAGTTGGGCGATTGAACCTAAGACTTTAATGTCATAGTAAATATTAGAATTGTGGATTAGTGTAACACAAGGAGCGTCAGCCAATCGCTCCCCTTTTATACAACATATAAATGACTTATGTCAGTAGTCAATAAGGCCACGTTAACTATATCTGATTAAATCTATATAATTCTTACGTAATACAACCGTATTGTCCCTAGGTATTATCCTTATCTATATATAGAGATAAAGTTTGTTATATTATTGATATGGGTCACCGTCTTTGAATTAAAAGTCAGCGTAAAACCCACAACTACGGTATATGATCGCGTATATCATACAAAATATTATTGTAACGGTTAAAATCTAACGTGGGAATTTTAGCTGCGGTCCATCGCATAGCCAAATTGAAAACATACACAGCATCCTACTGTTTCGTGTCAAACATTTTTTTTATTGCAACATATTAGCTCAAAAATGTATTCCGTAATCCGTTAATTATTTTTCGTTTCATGGACCAGAACAGTTGTTACTTAATATGGTCAATTGTGTTAGCCTTTGGTGGCATGACCTATAAACTAACGAGATATCCATGCAATTATAGCGGTTCTGTTGATGATGTTGCACAATATGATTTTGCCTGAAACTTTGACATTAAGTCCATCATGCTATAATGCCCCTAGTCCTTTTTATATATGTCATGTCATCCTATTATATTTATCATCTGGAGATATCATGTTAGTATCGTTTTCACTATGATGTTCATAATGATGATGGTGATGATGTACACGCATCCCCGAATCGAATTATTATCAGATTAGTCACCCATTTTGCATTTATGATAGCGGAAGCTTTTACAATAGTTGATTAACAATATTTTCATTCATTTGAATTCAAGCGTGTAAATCTTAAAACCCCCAAACTATTGTTACCGTTAGTATGAGTAGTGGCGACTGTTGTGTGTATAAGGTATGCTATGTTTAGAGATATTTTAGGCAATCTGATTAAAATACAGATCTATATTTCGTTTCGTTTTTTTTATACTTTTGATGGCCTACACTACATGAAGATCTGACCGGTTGTTGCGATAGGTCACGTCAGAGGTCATACGAGCAGCTTTTGACCCTATGACATCAGACATTTAATTAACCAATCAGCATTGATGTTACTAGTGAATTACCCACAGTTCCGTGCAAAACACGCCCAAAACTCGCCGTAACAGACCGTTTCATTGGCTAATACCTCACACTATTCAGAACACGTCAATGATAACAACTCTTCCAGATCCTAGTGTAGTATAGACAAGTTAAACGAAATTTTGAACTATAAAAACGAAACGAAATAGGATTTGTATTTTAATCAGATTGTATTTTAGGGGGTCCATGGAGAAATTGATCATACATTCTATGGAGCCCACCAACCCCCTAATCACACGGCCAAGTACTCCTATGGCCGTGTACGTACAATAATCCATTAACTTAATTAGCTAGTTTTATTCCTGTGTCCTTGCGGTATCTGATCAATTATTGTTATGTGTGATGCCGTGGTTAACCCAGACTCGATAGTCGTTGGTTAAGTTAGCTCTATAAATTGTGAAGGGTGTCGTACCCCGATTTCACATAGAGTACTATTGCATTGATCTAATTGCTAAATTTTCGGTGAGCTGCGGTGACTCTGTTTAGCTAACCAGTAGGTCTGGTCTTCGCCCCCTCTGTTGTCCAAGAAAGTTCTTCGGGATTTTCCAACCAAGAACGACATCTGTGTACACATTGGCGTGCACGTAAAAGAACCCATCACAGTTAGAACTCGAAATAAGAGTAAGGCTTAGCGACGCTCCCGGGCAAAATTTCACGTAAAGCACACTTTATTAGCCCAGACGGTGTAGAAAAGTACGGTGTCATTTCATGTCATTTCCACTCAAGCGGATTATTTTCTATTTCTTATGGAACGAAATTTGATATTTACAATTTCGGGTTTTAATGTATTATATCTGTTCCTGTATATAACTAGGTGGCTGTTTAATACAATGTAATGATTTATTAAATATGGCGAGGTCGACATAAATAAAACATAAGGGATCCTTTTAAGGGAAGAGCAAGAGTATTTACGACAGTAAGTCCCTTGTTCAAACCCAAAACATCATATATAATACATTATACGGGTCTCCAGTAAATTAATACAATTGTAAAGTATATGTATATAACAACTTGTATCAGAACTCCATGAATAAACAAACACTTAAACGTCAATGTTTATATATTACAGCTTCGTATAAAAGAAGTGATTGTTAATCAAACTCACCTTGTCCTGAAGTTAATTGCTTTGGTAACCTGGTTTAACCGACACTCGTGTGTCATACATATAAAACCATGTAAATAAACAGAATCGCGAGTCGTGTGTAAACTTGTTTATTTCCGTTGTATTACAAGCTAACACAGTGCCGTCTCTGACTTTCGACATCTAACCATTTAAACCACGTGATGTCAAAAGTAGTAAAACACCAAGGGCTTAATTTATTTTTGTCTTCATGGAGATGAACAATATGATTTTTTCTTAGAAGAGTTTTATTTTAAATTTTTTTCCAAAGATAACATAGCATGTGAACGTGATTTGAATTTTTATAACATGTGAAAATAGAAATTGATTCAACTTGTCGATATCGTGCTGATTCAGATAATTATTATCGTGTTAAATTATGTTTTAATATTTCTATTTGATCTAATAATTTGTATCTAAGTCAGCCCCCATGGCATCGTTTATAAAATTATCTTCATTTTCAATTCAGTTCATAAGGGAGGGTAGTCCCGAAATGACCTGGTTTGTGTCGAGTGGACGTTAAACCCCATCTCTCTCTCTCATAAGGGAGGGCTGGGGAGAGGGGGGATGTAAGATTGTGACAATATATTCAGTATCACGTACAGGCCTGAGATCACAATCACGACAACTCAGTGACAGACCTATGGGGTGGTTTACAACAACTATTCATTATTAGTGTCAATCTTGTATTTGATGTATTTGTTATATTTATTTATACCTACTTCATATTTATATTTTATACACACTTATCATTATTACCAGGGGATCACGTGGCTAAGTTGTTAAGACGCTGGCTCGCTAGCCTGGAGGTCGGATGTTCGATCCCTGCATTGGCCGAGAAAGTTTATCCAGATTTTCCGGCGTGGTTTCCCCTTGTCAGTGATGCAGGACGGAGGGCCTGACAAGGACAGCTGTCTAGTCGTTCGGATGGGACGAAAAACCGAGGTCCCGTGTACACATTGGAGTGCACGTAAAAGATCCCTTGGCAGTTTGAAGTCGATATGAGAGTAGGCCGTAGCGCCGCTGCCCGGGCAAAATTTCCCTCATAGCACACTGCATGGCGTATGCCCGTCTTCATTAGTCCAGTTTAGAAGCAGAACAGTAAGACGTTAAACCCCATTTCATTTCATTATTACCATTTTGCTTGAAGTCTTTTAAACAGCACTCAATAAATTAAACGAATTAGTTACATGTATTACAGAGTCAATCATTGAGTCTGACATTGTAATTTTAGCAGTTGCATTACTAACACATTTCTAATGGCGGGGGTTCACTAATTATAGCTTCCCGGGAGTATCTCGAAAGATATAACTCTTTGGCAACAATCTGTTGGATATTGTATAATTGGATAATGTTGTCCAATCACCGACTGTGTATTTAAGGTCGCGAAAGTCTTGATCTGTACCCGCTGGATTACTTTCATTGCTTATCCATCGAAAACTATTCTATTATGAACAGACGCAATTTTGGTTATCAAATATAGTTTAAGAATTTGTATTTAAATTTGTGAGAGTTCGTTGGATGTGGAAGCTATTGCTTGTGGTGGTGGTGGGGGGGGGGGGGGTTGTCCAGTAAAGACAAAAGAAGAAAATTAACTAACATTTCTTCGAACTGTCAAAATAAAAATTCTTGAAATACGCCGAAGTTATCAATTTATCGAGGCATGTCGATTGATAAACGCCATTCTTAACATTTTAAATGAAATGAAATGGGGTTTAACGTCCTAAGTTTCTACAACAAACCGAGCTAATATAAAACGGGTTGATATTTCAAAACTGATTTAAACACAGTCTCACTTACAAATAAGGATCATTACTGAATTGTATTCTTTCAAGTCTAATCAACATTGTCGTCATGGTAGACTCTTGAAAAATGGTTAGTGTTCTTCATTATGATATTCCGTTGATCAACCCTAACATGACCTTTACTTCTAAAACAGGTAACATTTGATTTATGTAACAATCTGAATACATTATGCGAATAATGGACACATGACTGCAGAAAATCGAGACACTTTCCTGATGCAGTAGCATCGTACCACGCATGACTAAACAGGAATCTGAAAATAGATCTCTGTACTGAATGACGGGGGGGGGGGGGGGGGGGGTGGCCGAATGGTTAGCAGGTGCGTGCTGTATCATAAAGCCTGTCATTGAGTCAACTGGCGTGGTTTCGAATCCCGGGTTGTACGTGACAAGGAGTAGGGTCGCCTGTCCAACCTCGTGGGTTTTCTCCGGGTCCTCCGGTTTCCTCCCACTTCTAAAGACCCCTACGCGCAAGCGAATTAGTGAAATAACATTAAACCACGTGTTAGTCCCGATTTGACCTAGTTTGTGTCGAGTGGACGTTAAACCTCATTTCTCTATCTCTCTCTCTGTCCTGAATGACCACCACGTTTAACAAGTTGGTTTGTTATGCGGTTCTAAACATATACACATACTAAGACTAAGTAAACATTTTCAATTTCATCAAATATGAAAATAGAAGGGGAATAAATACTTCTCAAAATTGACTTAGTATACTTCGTCTTTTTGACTAAAATGGTCGATGTAGGAATTAAAATGTCGGTCAACTAGCTTCGCGTCTATTCTCGAGCGGGGCGTATAGTAGACAGACAGCGTTTCGTAAGTGTCCACTGCACTCTACCGTCCCGGCCCTCCAGTGAGGTGATCCAAAAATGCAAAAACACGAAAAGTGGAGCATCTCTCAAACACTGAATATAAAACGCTTGTGTCATGTCCGGTATTAAAGTGTTTTCTATTAGTTGCTTGAAGGGCTATATCGATTGGACATGATATGATCACACTGTCCAATCGACAGTGTTTATATAATTATAATACCTTTCATTACACATAATAATAGTCACCTTTTAGTTATTTATTGCTTTAAAATGAACAATACTTAGTCTATGGTAATATAATACATATACGTGCATGCAACCTATACATGATTGCTACATACATACATACATACATACATACATACACACACATACATACATACATACATACACAAATTATATTTATTTGATGAAAGTGTTAACCGCCCTTTAATTTTATTATTATTCGCAAGATAGACCGTGACATATCACTAGCTACCACATCCCTATTTATATCACAATGCTGTAAAAATGATCTTTATGTTTTGGGGAAGATGGTGTGCAAAAAATGCAATAGGAGTGCAAAATATAATAGGACTGACATGGTGTCCCACAACAGCCGTATTATCAATTTTATTCAATGTTCAAATGGTAGATATCCTTTATAGAATATCTATGGTTCAAATGATGATCTCTATAGTGATTACGTTGCACACACTTTTATCAATGAAAGAGCGGACCCTGCCCTTTCTGCCACGCGCGGCTTTGTATTTGGTTGACTTTTAAATCCTCGATGTGAGTGAAGGATGAAGATATGTACGAAATGCTGTTAAAATTATATTATAGTAATATGTGAACCTTACAGACGACACACTTCGAACACAAGTGGGGTGCAAATTATTGACACCTGTAATGTATTATTTTCTTGATACGCCCAATAAGAAAAGAATCGACCCTTTTGTACCTTCACATCTTTACATCTTATCTTATTTTTCTAAACCTCGTGTTCAAATCTAGATCCGTGTTAAACAAGGTGTCGCCTTCAAATGTTTTATATCACGGGTGCAAAAGTAGATTTTTGTGTTTTGACAGTATTTGGGACTGTGCTCTCGGTCGCGTCTGCACCCGTATTCATTGGCTCAGTCGGAGCAGAACAGTAGATGTTAAACCTCATTCCATTCCATTTCGCATTTGTACTTCTAAGGCAAAGTGGGAAATAAGAAATATTAATATGATGTTATGTAAGTGATACTTTTGGTATCTGAAAGATTGATACTAATTACTACTAAAAGCCAACTACACAACACTGGACGACAAAACGGCTTCTTCCGGAAATTGTTCTCATTTTACAATGCACTCATAACATTCTCTAAGCAAGAAAACGTTTATATTTTCACTCATGCTACGCATTCGTGAAAATATAAGTTTTCTTGCATCTCGATGAAATAAAATATGTTATTCACTCTAAAACGACAAATATCCTCTATATATACAATCTATTAATTATTAACGTACTATAAAAGCATTACCCCGAAATGTTTAAACTAGGATTTAAGGTCGAAATTTTAATACATATTTTATAATATATTCAATGTGTCATTGAGGAGTAATCATATAACTCGAAATGTTGAAACGGAGGCTCAGAGAGTAAGACGATGGTTCGCTAACCTGGAAGTCCCGTGTTCGATTCCTGCGTTTGTCCAACAAGTTCATCGGGAAATGAAATGAAATGAAATGGGTTTAACGCCCTACTGTAATGCTCCGAACTGGGCTAATGAAGACGGGCATACGTCATACAGTGTGCTATGAGGGAAATTTTGCCCGGACAGCGGCGCTACGGCCTACTCCTATATCGAATTCCATCTGCCAAGGGATCTTCCATGTGCACGTCCACTGACCCTACTCTTATATCAAATTCCAACTGTCAAGGGAACTTCTCATTTCATTTCTAAATGTTGACCTGGACACATTACTTCCACCGTTATTATAACAAATCAGATCCGCAAAAAATCATCAAAAAGAATTCGATTGTAAAATCTATTATGGTTTGTATACATTGTTCATTATTGTCTTTTCTTTTCGCTTTTCTCCCAATTTTGTTTTAACTGTTTTCATATCTATGTTATGTATGTTGAATTCCGCCTCTTGTTAGCGTTTTATGCATTAAGTACACAATTTTTGTTCATAAGCCAAACTGGTTTATTTTAAGAGCGGGTTTTTTTTATTATCAGCATAAGGAAATTAATGTGGTAATATTTGACCCCTCCAGATTTATCGAATTTTTTTTATTCGGATAGTCTCGTATTTGTAACCATGACAAATCACATTTTCACCCCTCTCTGTGGTCTGCCCTCCACAAATAACTAAATTCTGGTTTTCACATGCAAATAATTCTGTGCGAGATATGTCACTCACATGAATTTTTTTTTTAATCTATTCGGTAATGGCTTTCCAATAATATGAACGTTTTAGTGGACGAATTCTGGCGCAGCGTATAGGTTGCGCTCAAAAAAAAGTAATATTTCAATTTCGT